TTCACTTGCTCATTCATTCATTCACTTGCTCATTCATTCATTCACTTGCTCATTCATTCATTCACTTGCTCATTCATTCATTCACTTGCTCATTCATTCACTTGCTCATTCATTCACTTGTTCATTCATTCATGCAAGTGCTCATTCATTCATTCACGCGCTCACTCACTCGGTCACGCGCTCACTCACTCGTTCATTCATCATCTCATTCCCTCACTTAGCGAAATCTGCTCCCGCATCCATTCTCTCCACTCATCTGTTCATGCGCACGTGCTCATTCCTTCGTCCACTCACCTGCTGAGACACGCATTCATTCATCAGGGCCCCTGCTCATTCACTCTTCCTCCTGCACTGGCTCACTCAGCCCACCCGCTGATGCACGAGCTGATCGGATTCATTCATCATCCACCCACTCATCCCCCCAGACACCCACGCACTCCTCCCGCTCCTTCACGCATTCGGCTCATTCGCTGGTGCACGCACGCTCCCCGAGCACTCGCTCATCCTGCCTGCTGATTGACACGCTCGGCTCATTCATCTGCACGCTCATCCACACACTCACTGCTCCCGCGCCCACTCGCTCTGCAGTCCGTTGGCTCACGCATGCGTCGTTCCTGCGTTCCATTGGCTCGCGCACGCACGCGGCCTACTCGGCAGTGCGTTCATTCACACATCCACGCATGCACGCCCCGTATCCATTCACTCATGCCCGCATTTATTCCTGCACCAAGGCGTGAGTCTGCTCACTCCATCCTGCACGCACGAACTCAATCGGCCCTTCGCTCTCCCATGCACGCAGCTCTTTGGCTCATTGGCGTAGCGGGTCCTTCACGCACGCATCTGTTCACGCTGTCAATCATTGGCGCCTTCCCAGCCGGGGTTTACTCTCTGGTGAGTCCCGGGCTCCCTCCACCAGTCACTCACGTGTGCTCAGGAATGCGCGCGCTCGCTCTGCTCTCTCTCTCTCTCTCTCTCTCTCTCTCTCTCTCTGGCATCCACCCTCCCACGTGTGCACGCACTCAACCACCCACGCACCCAACAGCTGAGCCGGGCTCGCTCATTTCTTCCCCTTCTCTCCCGCGCGCATTCAATTAGATGGGGAATGGAATCCCGCCTCCCGGGCAGGGGGCCTCCCAGCCTGGCCTCCGCCCGAGCCGCCCGCTGGCCTGGGGCCCGCGCCGGGGAAGCCACAGCAAACATTTGCTTAGGGGTTGGCTGAGTAAAGGTTAAATGTCCAAACCCGGGAGCCAGGAACCGCTGGCTGCGGCGGCGGGGAGCGGCCCCAGGGGGAGGGGAGGTGGCACTCGGGAGTGGAGCGCAGCCAGGTCCCCTCTTCTGTCTCCTGGCAGCCGGCCCAGGCTGGGCCACAGGCGGCGCGAGGGCTCTCTGGCCGGGGCTGCGACACTGCTGGTCGAGGCTAGTGGCGGCGCGGAGGTGGGGCCCGGCTTCCTGCGACAGGCCAATCGTGCCGCGCCGGCTGCGGGGCGGCGCGGGGGCACAGGCCGCCCGAGGGCCGCGGAGGTGCGGGGACTGCAGGGGGAGCGGGGCGTGGAGTCCGGGGAGCCCCGGAGGCCTGAGATGGAGGCTGCCGAGGGCGGCGGGAGCTTGGGGCGCGGGAGGGCAGAGCGCTGGGGAGGGGGCGCGGGCCCGGGAGGAGGCTGCGGGGTGAGAGCCCAGGAGCTGTGGAGCGAGCAGAGGAGCGTGGTTCGTGGAGATGGCCTGGGCGCAGCGGAGGCCGAGGATGGAGGCCGCCAGAGAGCGTAGGGGACGCCGGAGGGGTGGAGGGAGCAGGGCGCGGCCTCGCCAGGAGCCCGCGGGAGGTGAAGGCGGCGCGGGTCCTGGGCGGGCCGGGGAGGGGCAAGGCTGCTGCAGGGTTCAGGCATCTTGGGGGCAGCAGAGGGGAGGCTGGTTCGGGGAGGCAGCGGGAGACGCCGGTGGAGGAGGTGGGACGGGCTCCGGGGAGATAGAGGGAGCAGGGATGGCGCGCAGGGTCTGGGTGGGGGGGGGCCTGGGCGCCGCAGCGGGAGGCCCGGGGGAGGCCTGGGGGAGGCTAGAGGCCGGGGGAGGTGGGAGGACTTGGGGAGCGCAGCGCTCAGGGCGCAGGGTTGGCCCGGGAGAGGACAAGGAGCCCAGTTCGCGGGTCCGCCTTGGTGGCAGAGGATGCCGGCACTTGAAGGAGGTGTGGGGCGCGGGTAGGCGACTGAGGACACCCGCGTGGGGCCCTGGACACACCAGGTTCAGAGGCTGCCCTGGGACGCACAGGGGCTGCGGGTTGCAGGTGGGGAGCCCAGGTGGAAGGTGGAGGCTGACCCTGCGCTGGGGAGGTGTGGGGCGCAGGTGACAGGGGCCTGGGGTCCGGGGAGGACTGTGGCTGGAGCTGCTACCCAGGGTTCTTCCCGCAGGCCTGGGCCAGGAGGATCCATCCACCGCGCCAGGGCGCAGGCTTCTCTCGGAGCCCGCGGCGGCCGCGCCTCCCAACATGTCCGGTGAGTAGCCACTGCTGGCACCGGGAGACCCCCCCCCCTCTGTTGACCCTGACCACTGCCCCCAACCTGAGTCCCCAACTGGCTGCAGCGCCCAGGTCTCTGGGGCCTGAGGGAGGAGCGTTTCTGATGTAGCTGGAGCCGGGGGTCGGGGGGCTCAGCAGCAGAGCGAGGGGGTGATTTATGGCCTGACGGTGTGTGTGTGTGTGTGGGGGGCTCGAGATGTCACAATTGTCCTCCTGTGAAAGTGTCACCTACAGGATCAGAGGAGCTGGGTTCATAGGAGTCATATTAAGCTGAGAGTCTCACTGCGTGGGAGAGGGTTGGGAAGAAATGGAGGCTCCAGAGCGAGGCCGGTTCAGAGTCAGAACATTAGTTTTATTTATTTTATTCAATTTTTTTTGGGGGGGTATCAGGGATCGAACTCGGTGCTTAACCCCTGAACCCCGTCCCCAGCCCTATTTTGCATTTTATTTAGAGACAGGGTCTCCCTGAGTTGCTCAGGGCCTCGCTTTGGTGGAGGCTGCCTTTGAACCCACGATCCTCCTGCCTCAGCCTCCGGAGCCGCAAGGGATGACAGGTTTATTTATTTATTTTTCTTGTCCCAATGATTCCCCCAACAGGCAGCAGGCCTGGGCTCGATGACCAACTTGCAGGGATTGCAGCCTGCTCAGCCCCGGGTCTCCCTGCCCTGGAGCTTGGGCAGGGGACATTGGGACAGTTGACCAGAGACCTCGATCCTGTTTCTCCGAGCTCTGGGCTTTGCAGGGTCTCTCTSTCTGGGGGTGGACTGGGAGTCTCTGTTCCCGGCAGCCACAGAAAGGGTCCTCTGTTCCCAGAACCACCGTGGAGCTCCCCTGAGTGGCCACTACGTGTCCCCCGCCCCCCGAGGCCGCCGGGGTGTGTACAATGCCAGCATTCAGCCAGCCCACCGCAGGACACTCCTTGATCAGGCTTGGAATGTCCTGCTAGACCTGCTTTGGGAGTTTTCAGCTCTTTGCAGGAATCAAAAACCACCTTTGAGCAGAGACGAGGCCCCGGGAGAAGCCCGTGGTGTTATTTGGGGGGAGAGATGGAAGGTGGATGCAGGGCGGAGGCCAAGGAATAACCGCTTTTTGGCAGACTCCGTGGAGGACTCTTGGCTGAGCCTCGAGTGGATTTTTTAAGAGTGACTGTTTGGCTGACCTCGGGCCTGGAGCGTGCTCCTGGGTGCTGCCCCCAAAGCTGGTCACCCCGGTGTGTTAAAAGCAAACTGCATTCAAGTCAGGGGAGCTGGTTTTGCAGCTTAGATGGCCTCCAAGGGCCCAGGGGAGGCTGTTTCCCCTTCACGGGTCAATGTTCTTGTCCGGAGGGACAGTTGGTGGCCGGACAGAGGGGCTCTTCCACTCGTGGGTGCTGTTAATATGAGTCGTAAGCCCGGTCTGTGATTCTTTTGTCCATCTTGGGTCCTAGGACATTTATTGCCCCTTGGTCCTGGAGGCTGGAGGCTGGAGGTGCGAGGTCCAGGGTGGGCAGGGCGGGCTCCTCCCGAGGCCTCTCTCTCCCCTGGTCTTGCAGCCGCCGTCTTCTCCCTGTGTCCTCCCTGGGGCCATCCCTCTGTGTGCGTCTGTGTCCTCATGTCCTCCTCTACAGGGACCCCAGTCCTGCTGGGTCAGGGCCACCCTGGGGACCTCACTGCACCCCCATCCCCTCTGCCAAGACGCACCTCCACCCACACAGGCATGTCCCAAGGTCCTGGGGCCAGGCCTGCTAGCCGAGGACTTTGGGGAGATGGGGTTCAATGTGTAATATCCACCAGGGTCAGCGGTCCTTCCTGCCATCCTCCTGTGGAGCTACAGACCCAGTGCATGAAGCTATCAATTGCTGGTTTCACAGCTGACGCCCGTGCCCTCCCTGTCCCTTGCTGTTAGGGCACCCAACCCTGTCTTCCTCCTAGCTGGAACACGGTGTCCATCATGCTATTTGCAACCCTCTGGAATTAAAGGACCTTTGGGATGAAAGATGCTATGGTTTGGATACGGGGTGTCCCCCTAAAGCTCATACATGAGACCAGCCAGATGTGAAATGTTCACAGGTGGAATGAGTGGGTTAGGAGAGGTGTAGACTGAAAGTGGATTAATCCACTTGGATGGACTCACTGGGTGGTGACTGCAGCAGGTGGGGGGTGGCTGGAGGAGGGGGACCCTGGGCTGTGCCTTTGGGGTCACTGTCCTGTCCCTGGTGAGCAGAGCTCTCTCTGCTCCCTGGTGCCCTGTCCTGAACTGCTCTCCTCCTCCAGGCCCTGCCACCATATTGTGAAATGATTGGGTTGTGAGAGGTGTAGACTCATAGTGGATTAATCCACTTGGATGGACTCACTGGGTGTAGACTAAGAGTGGATTAATCCACTTGAATGGACTGAATGGTGACTGCAGCAGGTGGGGTGTGGCTGGAGGAGGGGTCCCTGGGCTGTGCCTTGGGGTCTCTGTCCTGTCCCTGGTGAGCAGAGCTCTCTCTGCTCCCTGGTGTAACCTAATAGTGGATTAATCCACTTGGATGGACTC